GCCCCAATCTCCTGAGCTCAGGGAGCAGGCAGCAAAGGTGCTACCCCTAGGTCCATGACTGGAGCGCTTAGGGTGGTTCTAGGGCCAGGCTTGGGCTCAGGGTGTTCTCCTGTCCTTAGCCCTGGTGCAGCTTTGCCACCGGAGCCTCTGTCCCCAGCCACTGCCTGGCTTCAAATTATATACTCGTTCATTTGGTTCTTGTTTGCTGCTCCCTAAGTTCCACCAGGACAGTGGCCGTGTCTCTCTGTTCACTGCTGAGTTCCCAGCCTAGAATGGCGTCCGGTGCTTTGAAAATGATTTCTGTGAACAATCCCTGTTCCCTTGTCTGTGCTGGGTGGGGTGGTGGTGAAGTGTGTGTCCCCGGCTGTGAGTTGCTGCCACGCCATGTTGTGGTTCGTTGCTGCCACGCCATGTTGTGGTTCGTTGCTATCAAGTTGGCCTCGGCTCATGGCGACCTTATGTCTAACAATGAAGCATGGTCTGGACCTGTGCCATCCTCATGGTCGCTCGTGTGTGTGATCGCTTGTGTTTATTGTGTCAGTCCATGTCACAGGGCCTTCCCTCATTTTCACTGACTCTCTACCCCAACCAGGATGTCCTTTTTCAGTGATTGATCTTTCCTGATGACGTATTGGCTTCAACATAATCAGGGATGCAATAGAGCCTTTCCAAAGGGCATGGGAGGGCAGTGGAGGGGGTGGCCGGCTGTGCACTGTCCGTGGTATATACTGGGAATGCATCCTCAAGGGCAGAACTGAAGCTGGGTCTTGAGGCATGCATAGGAGTTTGCCTGATCAACAGAAAAAGAGGAAGCCAAGTATTTCAGGCCGAGGGCACAGACACGAGTGGAGGGCCCAAAAGCCTGATCTTTTGGGGGACCAGAGAGAAGTTTGGGGTGATGTAAGCATGGGACCCTCTAAGCAAGGAGGGACGAAGCTGGAATTGAGGGTTGAGGCTCTTGTGCCATCCAGAGGCGACTGGACATAGTTATGAAGGCACCAGGGATCTTTGGGGGTTTTAGGTAGCCTTGTAACACTGGCTCTTTCTGAGATGGTCCCCCAGGCCAGAGTGTGCTTGGGCTGTCCCTGGACTCGTTCGAGGGGGCTGTGGCAATGGTCCAGGTGGGCAGGCCGGTGGCCAAGGCTGTGGTGTGGGAAGGAGGTGGGTTACGAGAGTCAGCCGGTTGGTGCTTCTGACTGGAAAAAAGAGACTGCACATGGAGGGTGGCCGGGCCTGGGGGCCAGTGCGTGAAAGGTGCCATGTGAGACTTCCATGGTCAGACTTCCCAACCCTGGGCACAGGTTCCTGGGTGAGTGTGACGTTGCCTTTGCATTAAAAACACACCTTGGCAGCCCCTCTTCTCCCAGGGCCAGTGGGTACCATCTCTCCACACACAACAGCTCTATCCTGGTGGGACGCTGGGAAGAGCAGGCCCCACCACTTGTCACGTGAAGCAGCCAGGGCTCAGGGCAATGATGTAACTTAGAAAGTCACACTACTCTATTTCCCAGGCTGCCCTCGGGGTCCCAGTCATCATTCTGTCTGGGGGCCTCCCAGGGACTCACTCCTAGGCAGCCAGGCGATCAGCTTCTCAGGGCCCGGGGGTTGGGGGGGTGAGGAAATGTAGGCAGTGAGGCCGAGGGTGGGTATTTATTTAGCAAGTTTTCCCCAGGGCCTGCTGTGGCTAGGCCCGTGCCCAGCCTCGGGGCCGCAGGAGGTCAGTGTGAAGGGAGGTGGACCCAGGTGAACAGGCTCTGGAGGCCGGCAGTGAGTGGCCCTGAGTGTGGCCACTGGTCTGGTCCCTCCCAGGTAGGGGTGGAGCAGGGAAAAATAGAGAACAGACAAGGTGGACGCTGTCCCAGGGATCCCCAGCTCCGAGCAGTGCCTGTGTCCCCTCCCTCAAGACAGGAAGGGGGTGGGATGCAGCCTGATGAGGGGCTATGGTCTGCTGAGCTTCAGAGGCCCTCATCCAAGGACTGGGGCTCTGGGTGACTCTGGCTGTCCAGGCCCATGACCTAGGCCCCTCTTGGGCTTTTTCCTCCATCTGAGGAGACAGAGGAGAGTGGGGCTCCCTGGGAGGAGGGTGGGCCAGGGGAGGTGGCCAGGTCAGGTGGCTCTGGTTTCCATCCGCCCCTGCGCCGCCCAGCCCACGAGCCATGCCACCAGCCTCTCCACGCAACCAGACACCTTGGCCTGGTGAGGCTTTGATGCGGGCCCTGATAGGTGGGCTCAGAGCCATGGCAACAGGTGGCCGCCTCCTCCTTGCCACCAGCCTGGCCCGCCCTGCTCTCTTTCCTGCCAGGGGGTAGGAACCCAGTCGAGAGAGGGTTCCCCCGTGGGCAGGGAGGATCTGGGGGCTGGCACCCACCAGATGGGCATAGTCAGAGAGATGCCAGGATGAGCAGCACCCTCAACTAGGGTCCCTGGCCTGCGTGGGGTGCCGAGCCCCCAGGTCCCTGTGGAGCATGCTGCAGCTGGGAGCCCCCAGACCCCAGGGCCGTGCCCCCCTGGGCAACACCCGGCAGGTAGGGCTTGCCAGAACTGAGGGGTCTTCACCTAGCCCTCCCACAGATCTAGAAAGGAGCCAGAGGGGCTCTGAAGTCAGCCCGGGACTGGATCCGCCTTTCAGGGTCCCCAGGAGATGGGGGAAGGGCAGCTTTGGTTGCACCACAGGAGGGTCGTGTGTTGGGGGTGGGCAGGAGCACCTTGTCGGGGACAGGGACTGGATATTTTATCCAGCCCTGCGACCAGATCTGTTCTCCCAGCTCTCTGGGGTCTCTTCCCACAGGCAGGCCTCCTCGCCCCACTCTTGGGTGAGGAAGCGGGCTGGTGGGAGTGGAGCTGAGGCATCTGCAGTGTGTGTCCCTGCCCCAGTCCACCCTCTTGGCTCTGAGAACGCCGCACGGACGCTGGGGAAAGGGGCCGAGGCTGCCTCAGTGGCTGGGGCACCTACCTGGACCTTCAGCCCTCTCTCCTGGCTTCCCAGGACCTCAGTCTTGCAGATTGGGGAGGGGGGACATGAAGGGCGCAGCATCCCCAGCTCCCCAGCCCCAGTGTGTCCGACCCCCTACCCTGGCCTGACCCGTTGCCTCCTCGTCTCCTCACAGCCCGATCTGCTCAACTTCAAGAAGGGATGGCTGTCGATCTTGGACGAGCCTGGAGAGGTAGGAGGGCTGCAGCGGGAGGGGCGGAGGTTGGCCGGAGTGGCGCTGTGTTCTGAAAGGGCCCCTGCGGGCGGCCCAGGAGCCGAGCTGCTCCGGCCTGTGTGCCTTGCAGAGAGCCTGGCCTCTGCGGGATCCGAGCTGGGGTGGCTGGAGCGTTTCTTGTCTGGTGTGGAAGAGGCCTTTGGGCTGTGGGGACTGGAGGGACCGAGACAGCTCTGACATCTGTCCACCACCTGGGGCAGGTCTGTGGTGTATCAGAGTCCCCAGGTTGGAGGCCCCTATCCCCTACGCTCTACCCCTGCCCCCTCCTCTCACTAAGAGCCCCTGGGCCTCCACCTCCTGGTTGGGAATCGAGGGTCTAGAACGGAAAAGCTCGGCATCATCTGGCCTGATCCCACATCAGGGAAGCCAAGGCCACCTGAGCTCCCATAGCAGGGTGAGGAGAGACAGGGGCCCCACCCTCCCAGGCTGTGGTCTCTCCCATCAGGCTTTGCAAGGAAACCCGTGTTTCCCTACCCTGTCTGGTCCTTTCATGACGCCTGTGTCTTCCCTGGGCAAGACAAGATGGGAGGTGGACTTACCTCCCAGGGCTGGGGTTTCCCCCAGCTGTGCTGCTGGTCTGACCCTCAGCCTGAGCCTTGTACAGGTTCCCATAGATCCAGCTGGGTGGGGGTGGGCATGGGTTCTGAAGTGTCACTAACCTGGGCCCCGTGGGTGGGGCTCCAGCCCCCTCTGGGCTTCAGTGACCATGCCTGTGAAATGGGCATTAAAAGAGTGATGACTCCTTCCAGGGTGGGGAGGAGGGTCGCACGAGCACGTGAAGGGCCCTGGTAAAGTTAGCCTTGGAGGGGCTAACTCGTCTGTTCTGAGAACCAGAAAGGGTAGTGGCGCTTTCACCAGCTCTGTGCTTTCGGCTGCCAGGCTGGAGCCTGGGAGCTGGAGCTGGCACCTTGCCCACCTGGCCTGGGAGGGGACGGGTCCCCAGCCCTGCTATGCATGCGCCTGGGGCTCCGGGTCTGCATGCAGCCCGCATGCCGGGGAGGGCACACCGCCAATGGGAATCTCATTGTGTTTCCTGCCCACGTGTTTGGTTCCCTCCAGCCTACAGCCTTCCACACCCGCTGCCCGCCCGGCAGGCCCTGGAGGTCGCCTGCCAGGCTCACACAAGGCCTGGTGCCCTGCCAGGGACCCCTTCCTGGCCTCCCCACCCAGGGTCCCCGGAGGGCAGAAGGATCATGGGCCCCACCCAGAACTGGCCATTACTCATCATCTGTCCCAGGGTTTTGGAATGCCTGAGCTGGAAGGGCTCTCTCAGAATTGAGTCAGCCCAGCCCCTCGGTGCACAGGCAGGAGATGGGCCCACAGGGCTTTGATCTGTTCCAGACCTCACAGCACCTTGGCCCAGCCCAGGCCTCAAACTTGAGGTACCTGAGGCCCACTGGAGATCCCACTCAGACAGTGAGCGATTGAGCTGGGGAGGGCCAGAGGGAGCATTTGGTTCAGAACCCTGCCCCACTTGACAGCTGCTCCAACAACACCTCAGGCCGCTCAGAGCAGGGTGGTTCTGAGAGGGCCAGCCTCTTAGAAGAGTCCACAGTAGCCTTGAACCTGACCCTGTGCCAACGAGAGACGTACAAGAGAGAGTTAGGTACTTTTCGCCTCACAAGAAGGTGCAGGTACTTCTTAGTAGCCTCACTTTACAGGTCAGAAGACTGAGGCTCAGAGAGGTCAAGACACTTACCCAAAGGCACACAGCTAGCAAGGGATGAAGCAAGTTGTTACCTAGATCTCTTGGATACCCCACCCCTGGTTCTTAGGGGAGGTGTGTGGAAAGACATAGAGCTCGTTGTCCTTGGACTCCCTTGAAAACTTATCTTCTTGAGGAAAGAAGACTGAGTACTTGAAACAGTGGACCATGTGGCTAGGGCTTGGTGACGTGGGGGAGCTTAAGGGGCCCTGACCGGGTGGCCTGCACTGACCTTGGCAGTGGGTGGATCTAGACTGGCATCCCAGTGGAACGCCAGAGGCCTGGAGGTGGGCTGAGCTTGGCACATTGAAAGTTGAGTTGTCTGTGCCCCGCCCGCCCCCACCCCCCGGCCCCAAGCATCCTCCAGCTGCCTGGGCCTAGGCTGGAGCAGAGAGAGGCCCTGGGGAGGTAGTCTCTGAGATCAGGCCTTCTAGTCCTGTCTCCTTAGGTTAATTGCCCTCACGTCCCACGGCTGTGCTCAGGAGCTCATCTGCAGCCCGGTACCCTCTGGAGGCTTCATGTGGATGGGAATGTAACATGCCCAGGAAGGAACAGGGCAGTGCCTTCTCCCAGCCCGAGCACGCGTGTCAACCAGCAACACCCAGATCGAGAGACAGAACACAGCCAGCACTCAGATGCCATCCCCTCCCAGTCCTACTCTGGGAGACTTTGGTCCTTGGTCATGGAGGCGACCGACTGTAGGACACGTAGAAAAAGACTTGTAAAGTTCTGACCCCACTTGATCCCTGACTTGCTAGGCAAGCGACCTGACAACAGGTCATAGCCCCTCCATGGTCTGCACTGGGGCACGCAGATTTGCTCGTAGCAGCCTTGGGGGTTGGGGTGGAAGTCTCTGGAGGGGTATGAGGGTGCTGATAAATCGAAGAGGGCTCCATGAGGAATGGTGGGTGGGGATTTACGGAGGGGAAGCCAATCCATTTCACAGATGCTGCCCTGAGTGGCTCACTTGGCCTAAGGCCGGGCACCTGGGAAGTGGCATGGCCGAGCTCCAAATCTGGGTACTGATTCTGAGTTGCACCTATACCACTGCCCCTGCCCCATCACCAGGGCCGATAAGGGTGCTGGGCCCCAACTGAGAGCAGAATGGTTGATGGGTAGCCTCCCAGCCCAGGACACCTGCAGAATCACACACACACACACACACACGCAGTCACACACCCTCTGCTTTCCCCCCTGCAGTCTCCCTCCCCCTCGCTCACCATCACCTCTTCTCCACAGTGGAAGAAGCATTGGTTTGTGCTGACTGACTCGAGCCTCAAATATTACAGGGACTCCACTGCTGAGGAGGTGAGACAACAGGGTAGGGGTGCCGGTGGGCCCCTGGAAGGGGGGGGAGCAGCAGAAGGGGCAGCCCCAGGACCCTCATGAGTGAACCACCCTGGCCTCCCTGCTCCAGGCAGATGAGCTGGATGGCGATATCGACCTGCGTTCCTGCACGGACGTCACGGAGTACGCGGTGCAGCGCAACTATGGCTTCCAGATACACGTGAGGCTGCACGTGGGGCTTGGGGAGTGGTGGGCAGCACGACTGAGGGCCCCCAGCAACTGGGTCCTGTCACCCACTGACTGACTGTCCTCCGAGCCGGTCAGAAGCTGTGGTGCCTACCTGTAGCATGTCTGGAAGACCCTGGGTACCCTTGGAGGTTGGATGCTGGGGGGTTCTTAGAGCCATTGGGGTCCTTCCTGGGTCAGCTCTGCCTTCTAGTCTGCAGGGGAGGTGTTTCACCCTCTGCTTGCCTCGTGGGGAGAGGGAGGGAGCAATAGGGCCAGCCATGGGATAACTTCCCACGGGTTGGACTTGCAGACCAAAGACGCCATCTATACCTTGTCGGCCATGACCTCGGGCATCCGACGGAACTGGATCGAAGCTCTGAGGAAGACCGTGCGACCAACTTCAGCCCCAGATGTCACCAAGTAGGTGCCGGGTGGACCGGGGCTTACCCCTGCATCCCTGAGTGGGAGTCTGGCTGCCCACCTGAGTGCCCTGCAGCTGTGCCAACGGGACCTCAATTTCTCTATCAATAAAATGGGGAGAAGAGGCTGAGCTTTCTTGGCAGTCAGCCAGAAATACATTGAGGTTTTGAAGGTTGAACCTCCATCCCTTTTCATCCCCCACATCCTGAGGGAGTGGGAAGGGGTCCTGCCTCTGTGCACACCTCTCTGGGGGCAGGGAGCTCACTCCCTAGAGGCTGCCGTGGATGGAAAAATGGGGGGCGAGTTACCTGTGGCAGAGGTCCCACACCGTACAAATCCAAGACATCCACACGGGGCTGGGGCTCACGTCCACTGGGCAGCGCGCATGGCAGGCACGTGGGATCGAAGGGGGATGAGCGCAGGGCCCCCTGCCGGGCCACACCCAGCTGTTCAGCCTCCTTTGCTGTCCGAGTGTCAGATTCCTCATCTGCCAGCACATCTTGTCTGGTTTGTGTGAGGTGCCTGTGGAGGCCCTCTGTGAACTCAGAAGCCCTGTGCAGCCGCAATTTTGTTCACTGTGTAGGCTCAGCACCAAAACCAAACCAAACCAGTTGCCATCGAGTCAGTTCTGATGCATGGAGACCCCACATGTGTCACAGTGGCCCTGTGCTCCGTAGGCTTTGCAGTGGCTGGTTTTGGGGAAGGTGACAGTGACCCTGGGCAAAAAGGATTCTCAGGGCCTCATCAGTGGTTACTATGGCCGTTTCCCTATTCCAAATCCAGGACCATGTCTCACACTTTGTAAACATTTCTTACTTTATATAATAATGCATTGACTCCGTTTATGAAGGGCTTCCCGGCTGCTTACACATACGTTCACTCACCCAGTCCTCAAGTCCATCCTACGAGATGCACTGTTGTCCCATATTACAGATGAGGTATCCAAAACCACTGCCACCGAGTCAGTTCTCACTCACAGTGACTCTATAGGACAGAGTGGAACCGCCCCATAGGGTTTCCATTGCTATAAATCTTTATGGAAGCAGACTGCCACATCTTTCTCCCAAGGAGTGGCTGGTGGGTTCAAACTGCCTACCTTTTGGTTAGCAGCTGAGTGCCTTAACCACTGCACCACAGAGCTTCTTATAGATGATGTGACTGAGGCACAAAGCGGGAAGCCATGTATGGTGGCCCCTCTGCTGGTAAGTGCTCAAGCCTGGATGGCTGCCAGTGTCTGTTAACTAACTGTGACATGCCAGTGCTCCACCTCTAGGTTGGGTGGCTTCCTACACTGGAGTCTGTCCCCAGCCTGGGCCTAGCACACAGGTGGTACTGCAGACATGCTCACTGTGCGTCTGAGTGGGCAAGGCCTCACCTGATGTGGTTCTGCTGGTACCCTAGGCTCTCCGACTGCAATAAGGAAAACGCGCTGCACGGCTACAGCACCCAGAAGGGCTCGCTGAAGGCAGGGGAGCAGCGGGTGGGCTCCGAGGTCATCAGTCGGGGCGGCCCACGGAAGGCAGATGGGCAGCGGCAGTCCCCAGACTATGTGGAGCTCTCGCCGCTGACCCAGAGCTCCCCACAGCGGGCCCGCCCTCTGGCCCGTGCTCCCGACCGCCTGGCCAAGCAGGAGGAGCTGGAGCGGGACCTGGCCCAGCGCTCCGAGGAGCGGCGCAAGTGGTTCGAGGCCACGGACAGCAGGATCGCAGAGACGTCGGCTGGCGAGGGGCCACGCAGGGGCTTAGGCGCCCCCTTGACCGAGGACCAGCAGAGCCGGCTCAGCGAGGAGATTGAGAAGAAGTGGCAGGAGCTGGAGAAGCTGCCGCTGCGGGAGAATAAGCGGGTACCACTCACGGCCCTACTGAACCAAAGCCGTGGTGGGCGCCCAGGGCCTTCGAGTGACAGCCACGAGGCCCTGGAGAAGGAGGTAGGCATCACAGCTGGCCTCTCTGGGAGCCCCTGCACCCCACCCACCTCCCTCCAATCTTTGTGTTCTCTTGATGGCGTTTATCCTGCATACCTAGGGGGAATTGTCTTCCCTGGATGGACCTTAGGTTGTTGTATCCTGGTTCTGCTCTCAGCTACTGCAGAGAAGGGAAGAGGGAGGGAGGGGTTCTCCTGGCCATACCTTGTCCTAGGTTCTCTGCTTGTATTAACTCTATAAGCCTCAGCAGTCTCCTGTCCAAAACGAAACCAAAACCAAACCCACTGCCATCGAGTCGGATCCGACTCATAGCGACCCCTCCTTGGGTTTCCAAGGCGGTATCAGTACAGAAGTAGATTGCCCAACCTTCCTTCCGAGGAGTGGTTGGTGGGTTTGAATTCTGGTTAGCAGTCAGATGCCTTAGGCACTACGCCACCAGAGCTCCCCAGCAGTCTCCTGTGGGGTAGGGCTTATCATAGTTTTACCAACAGGGACACAGAGGCCCAAAGATGTTGCCCCTCACACCTCTGTCATGTGGTAAATATGTGTGGCCACAGCGTCCTGTTCCCAGTCCTGTCAGGTCTTCTCTGGGCCAGAGCTCTTCCGGGTCTTTGATCTGGCCTTCCAGGAAACAGCTGCAATATCCCCTTTGCCGCATCTCCATACGGGGCTACTTCCCTTTCTCAGGCCCACTGATCTCACCTCCTCTCCTGGTAGGTCCAGTGTCTCCGTGCCCAGCTGGAGGCGTGGCGTCTCCGAGGGGAGGTGCCTCAGGATGCCCCCAGGTCCCAGGAGGACAGCCACATCCCCCCGGGCTACATTTCACAGGTGAGGCTGAGGAGCTGTTTTGAGGGGAGGGGCAGGCTCCTGGTTGCCATGTTCACAGAAAAAAAAAAAAGAGCTAATGTTTTGGGAGCATCTCCTGTCCATCGGCCCCGTGGGAGGCGTCTGACGTGCATCATCTCGTTTAATTTCCCCACAGCGGTAGAATCAGTCTCAATGGGCGTGATCACTGTGCCCATTTTACAGACCAAGCCACTGAGCTCTGAGAGGTTATGTGACTTGGCCGAAGTCACCGTCCTGCAGATGTCAGAGGTGGGACTTGAGCTCAGGTGCGGCTGACTGCAGAGCCTGTGTGTGCGCCCCTGCGTGACACTGCACTTGGTGACTCCTTCCGCTTCCCCTGCACCATCCTGGGGAGTGAGGGTCCGGCAGAGGAGGACGGAAAGCCCTGCCCAGGGTGCTCCAGGGGACATAGGCACCTCCAGGGGCCCTCAGGGAGCATGTGGCCTGCCGAGGACCACACGCCTCTCAGTTGGGGCAGTTTTGTCCCCTGGGCACATTTGGCTGCATCTGGAGATACCTTTGGTTGTCATGACCAGGGGTAGGGGAGTGCTATTGGCACGTAGTAGCAAGAGTCCAGGAGTGCACAGGGGAGCGTCCTACAGTGCATAGGGGAGCCCTCAGCAAAGGGTGATCTGACCCACATGTCAGTAGTGCTTGGGTTGAGAAGCCCTAGCCTAGGAGTTGGGCCTGAAGACAGTGATGTGTGAGCAAATGTTTAACCACTGGCTCTCTAGAAAGCGTGTGTGTGTGTGTGTGTGCATGCACACGTGTATGTGTGTGTGTGTGTGCACGTGCACTTAGATATACAAGGTGTTATAAATTTTACTTTATATGGGCTGTTCAGTACACAAGGTACAAATAAAAAATACATAATACTTGTCATTGCAAATTCCATGTAGCAAACCTGAGTCTTTGCAGAATGCGTGCACTGATTTTTACCAAACTCTCGCATCTGAACTCTTACATCCTTAACTAAATGATTGGTGAAAGAGTATGATTTTCACGTGGATATTGGTTGATGCATTATTTATTTGTTTCTGTTAATGAGTTAGATGAGAAGTTACTCAGTTAGCTTGACCAGTGACTTTGCTAAACTGGATAATAGTTTTCTATTGAGAATGTTTGAGACTGTGCCTCAGTGTTTTGTCCTATTGACAATGTAACTGCTGTAGACATGTCATACTTCTCACTTTCTCATCCCTTTCTTAAGTCTAAGGAGCCCTAGTGGCACAGTGGTTAAGCATTCGGCTGCCAACCAACAGGTTGGCAGTTTGAACCCACCAGCCACTCCACAGGAGAAAGGTGAAGCAGTCTGCTTCTGCAAAGATGTACAGCCTTTGAAACCCGATGGGGCAGTTGTACTCTGCCCTACAGGGCCGCTAAGAGTTGGAATTGACTTGGTAGCAATAAGTGGGATTTACTTAAGTCTAGACAATAAACAATAAATCAAGCCCTGCGTTGTAATGTTTACCAGTTTCCGTGATGTAAATATTCCCGCTATGGCTGTGGCTGCTGTCAAGCTACCAACGGGAAGCCCTTGAACATGGCGTTGGGAAGAGATGTGCACACCCTAATGTTTCCACTGTACAGAGACAGTGGCCGTGACTAACCTCCGGCGTACGCATAATAATAAAATGTAGTGAAATCATTAGGAAGTGATGGGCTGTATCTATTACCTTTGTTTTTACGATAATTAACCGTAAGTTTATAGAGCTTAGTTTTTAATAATGGCTGTGCCTACCTGGTATACAAAATTGCTACAAATTAGACCCTCGGCCATCTCCTGGCAGTACAGTATAGGCTGAAGAAGAAAAGCATGCTGGGATGCCAGGCCCTGGGCAAGAGGGGCCTTTCAGAGATTGCAAGGGGGGTGGTGACTGACAGGTATTCAGGAAGCCTTGGCACTGTGGGTAGGTGGTGGGTATTGGGTATGGACGGCCAGTGGTGCCCACCATGGAGGCTTCCAGTGCCAAGCTAAGGAGTTAAGACTCACTCACAGACCTTAGGAGGTTTGAGGTCTGGCAATGACATTGGAAAGTGGTGTTGGAGAAGAGGGGTCTTGGGGTGGGGGACTCAGGAGCAGGGCCCAAATGGGAGGAGCTAGTACGATGGCCAAGGGAGGGAAGGCTGGGGGAGGGTGTCTGGAGGGGGGAGGGTACAGGGCAGGTGACCATGCCCACAGGATGGTAAAGGGTAGCTCTCAAGGACCCTGAGGCCGGGGCTGCTGTGCTGGGGCCGGGGGCCCTCGGGGCCTGAGTGGTTCATGGTCTGGCTGAGGGAGGCCAGGGGCAGGGGGAGTCAGAGGCCTGGCGTGAAGGTGGAGGGCTGGCCTGAGGGTTGGTCACCTGGACACCGGAGAGGGAAGGGACGGTCGTGGGTTGTCAGTGGCTCCTTTGAGGTGAAGAAGGGGCTGGGTGGCACGTCTCCAGGTGGGCAGAGACTCCAGCCCAAGGACTTCAAACTGTGCACAGTGGACTTCTTGGAAACCTCACGGGAGCTGTCTCTGTGGGTGGGGCTGGGCGGTCCTTTCACACCCACCTCTAATCTGAGAAGCTGCGGCTTTGTCCGTTTATTGTGAGAACCTGCATTCGATTTCATTTGGTAAAAGGTTTCTGCTACTTTAGTTTGCGAAGTTTGCGAAACGTTGCTCTGCTTCTCAGCTTGCAGATGGGGAAACTGAGGCCCGGAGAGGGGGTGTGACCTCTGAGCTGGAGGCAAACCTATGTCTGGAATGCAGGCTTCTTGGTCCCCAGGCACCTGCTGGTGCCCCAAGAGCTGCCGCTGGCGTTTTGTCCTGTTAGGTCGGAGTGGGCAAGGGGAGCTGGTAGAATGGGAGGGTGGGACCTGAGAAGGAATAATCGGGCAGCAGAAAGCAGAAGACGGGTGAAGGAGTGGCCCCAGATGCAGAAGGTTCCAGAGAAGAGGAGCTGAGTCATCTGTGGTTCCCTCAGGCCCAGGAGGAGGCGGCTAGAAGTTCAGCAGGCACTGGAGAGGTGACAGTGGGGAGGGAGCCGCAGCCTGGCATCTGGCTGGGTGGGTGCCCCACTTACAGGCCTGGGAACTGACCATCACAGGGCAGCTTCTGGGGGCTCTGGGGTTCCACCTGCTGGGTCTTCAGTCCCTCCTCTGGTGGAAGAGAACCTCTTCCCGATTGTGGACAGGGCCGTGGGCACTTCTGTACCTACCTTGCTGCCCAGTCAATGTCGGGACACCTCGGGCCACTCAGTAAGGGACGCGAGAGAGCAGCGTCTAGCCTTCTCAGAACCCCTCGTGGGCCCTTCCTGCCTCGTTGGACCCCCATCAGCCTCAGTGTCTGTCTGCCTGGCTGGTCCTTTAAGAACACTCTCCAGCCCCTACCCTGCTGCAGGACAATGTCAGGGATGGTGGCACCTTGGGCAGGTGACCTCTACTGGTTGACATGAGGCCGAAGCTCAGAGAGAGGGCGGGGCCTGTTCAAGTCCCCTCTGGGAGGTGGAGCCAGGATTAGGATCCGGTCTGGGATTCCGGGGCTGCATTCTGCTGTCCTGACTGGTGAATGTGCACCGGGCAGGTGCCAAGACCCAGGACAGACCTCCCTGGCCCCCTATGGGAACCCTGGACCCGGGGGACCTGGCCCTTTCTCCTCCCCCAAACTGGCCTGCTGCGGCCTCTTCAGGAAGGTGTGGCTGCTGGAGAGGTGGGGGGTGGTGAGTCTGCTCCCCCCAGCGCTGTGCCTGGGCTGGGCATATGCCTGCTGTCATGGGGAAGAGTATCAGCTCTTCTTAGGAGCTCTCTCTGCCTGGGTTTCTTCCCTGGCTCACCTCTAGCCCTGTGTAGCAGTCCTCAATATTTTTTTTTATTATATAAGAAACATGTTTACATTTTCAAAAATAAAACACAGGGTTCGAAATTAGCCCAGATAACTTCCTACCCTAGAAGTCACCTGGGTCACCATCTGAGCAACTTTGTGTTTGTTTCTTTTTGTGCTGTAACATATCACCCAGACAGAATGGCTTCCCTGATACCTTTCCATAGGATAGAAGTCTACCGGGTCTCACCAGCCTGGATCAAAGCCTCGGCAGGGCCACGTTCCAGCCTGTAGGCTCCGCCTAGGAGCCGCTTGCTCCTCTCATCTGACTTCAGAGGCCGCCCACACTCCTTGGCTCATGGCGCCTCCCTCCATCTTCAGAGCTCACAGGGGAGAGTCAGGGCCTTCTTGCTTCACTCTGATCCTTCTCTCATAGTCACATCTCCTCTGACTTTTTCTGCCTCCCTCCTCCACGTTTACGGAGCCTGGTGATTACATTGCCTCCGTGGGAGGGTTCAGGGTCGTCTCCCTCTTTTCACTGGTCAAAGGCTCATCAGCAGCCTTTGTTCCCTTTGCCGTAGACCCTAGGGATCAGGATGGTGTTTTTTTGGAGCGGCATCATTCTGCCAACCGCACCATCCTTCCCTACCTTCTGTGTTTCTACATGCACATACCCAATCAATGGATGTATGTGTTTGTTTTTGTGAAGGGGGTCACCCCGTGTTTTGTCAGAAGCCAGCTCTCCTCACCTAACTTTAGTGACACCTTTCCACACACTCTGCTGTCCTTCACAGCTACCTGGGATCCTGTGTGTGGCTCGATTGATTCATTTTAACAGTCCCTGTTAAATGTTAAGGAAGCATTTTAGATGCCTTCCTGTTTGTCTGTGATAATATTTTGTCCAAGAGTCTGTACACACAGAACTTTTTGTGAGTATGTTCCTAGAACTCGACCTGGTGGGTCAAGACACCCTCACCCACAGTGCTGTTCTCACCATATACTTGCCAGCGGTGGGTCTGAGCCATCTTTAAGATCTTTGCCAATCTTGTCTCAAAACCCCATTTTGTATTAAGTCATCAGTGCCGCCCATTTACTGAGCACCTGTTACCTGTCAGGCCTGGGCTGGACTCTGGGGACCCTGACCTAGACCAGACCAGACATTTCCTGTCCCCAGCGAGTGTATGGCCTGGCCGAGGCAGAGCTTTAGAGGCAGGAGAGAGGCCACCCCAAGACAGAGATGGGATAGACAGAGCAGAGCAAATTGCTTACCCAGGAGAAAGGTGCAAAAGAACTTTCAAGGCAGTGGGAATAGCATGAGCTAAAGCTGGATGGTGCAAATGCGTAAGCGCTCAGATGCTACCAGGAGGTTGGTGCTTCAAACCCACCCAGAGGCACCTCAGGCCCTGGCAGTCCACTTCCGAAAGATCAGAGCCATTGCACGCCCGGAACAGCACAGTTCTGCCCTGAAACAAGGTTGCCGGAGTTGGAATCGACTCCGTGGCAACTGGTGTTTTTTTTTATAAGCTGAGGGGTGGGAATGTGCCATGAGTCATTGTTATGGCCGTAAGACTGCTTGGTGGGAGAAGAGGTCCCAGGGGTGCAGCAGGAACTGGGCTCCATCCTGCAGGATGGGGAACCGTGGAGAAGTTTGAAGCCGGAAAGTGACAGGGAGAGGTTTGTGGAGGAGGGATGGGGTGTAGGGACCCAGTGAGAGGTGGGGAAGCCTGGATCAGGGCAGGCCTGGCCTCGAGGCGTCTCATCTGCAGGCCAGTGGCCCACGACCTCCTGAGCCCAGCAGTCTGGTCCCCATCCACAGGAGGCGTGTGAGCGCAGCCTGGCCGAGATGGAGGCCTCGCACCAGCAGGTGATGGAGGAGCTGCAGCGGCATCACGAGCGGGAGCTGCAGCGGCTGCAGCAGGAGAAGGAGTGGCTCCTGGCCGAGGAGACCGCCGCCACGGCCTCAGGTCAGGCCCCGGGGCAGCTCCGTGGTCTGGGCCCGTGAGCCCCAGGCTGTGGCTCCTCCTGACTGGCCTGGGGAGGTCTTTCTTTTGTTTTCTTTTTTAATTTCCTTATTGTGATTTGGGTGAAAATTTACAGAGCAAATTCACTTTCCATACACTTTGTCTCATGACATTGACTACAATTTACCCCAATGCAACAGCTCCCCTCCCACTTCCTCCCCATAGTTACCTCTTCCCTGTGTCCTTCCCTCCATGTGCTCCTGCCCCCTGAGCTGTCTCCCTGTGCAAACACAGCCCTTCTTTCTTGGAATAGGGAGGTCTTTAAACCAGTGGAGCCCTCGTGGCCCAGTGCTTAAGGACTAGGCTGGCAACCAAAAGGTCAGCAGTGCCAACAGCCACTCAGCAGGAGAAAGGCGTGGCAGGCTGTGAAGATTCCAGTCTTGGAAACCCTATGGGGCTGGTCTCCTCTCTCCTGAAGGGTCACTATGAGTCAGAATTGACTCCATGGCAGTGGGTCTTAAACAAGAGGTGGGAGCCTAGGTGCCCAGACTTTTGGGGGAGGGATTGGAAGCTGCCAGAACTGGCCTCTGCTCCTATTTGGAAAAGGGGGAAACTGAGGCAGTAAAAGACCTCCCCTTCCCTGTGGGTTGTGACTCCTCTGTGTTGGGGCCTGCACCCACCAAGAGGTCTACCCTCGAGCCACACACACTGCACCAGCGCCAGGCCCAGCCCACGTGCTGGGGAAGGGAGACCAGCCAGCTACAGACTCTTAGGAGTGCCACCTCACGGGGCATTCGGGGCAGGTCCTGTGTCCCCATGTTACCCACGTGAGCTCCCTTAGTCCTCCAATGCCTGAGGGATTGGCCCCACTTCGTAGATGAGGAAACTGGGCCTCAGACAGCACAGCCTGGAGGTGGCAGATCTGAGGTTGGAGCTCAGAGCCCTATGAACCCCATGCTCCCCACTCTGTAGGGAGATGAACCGTCTCAGGCCAGAAACAGACAGACAGCTCCCTCCGCTCTCAGTCTACTGCCCACCTGTGGTGCGTGTCCAGCAACAACTGCCCCCGACTCCCCCCTCCAGGCGCCTACCCCCCCATCCCACTCCTCCTCCACAGAGTTGCAGAATGATAGGAATGATCAAAGAGGCCCCATGATCTAAAGCTTACCACACGCTGGGGCTGGGCCTGGGCCTGGTGTGATGCTCATACCAGTCCACAGTCCCTCATTTCAAGCCCTGGGACCAGGTGTGTTCTGCATTTTGGAGAGAACCCAGCACATGTGCCCTATATTAGCCCACTCCCAGCGGGGCCGGGGCCTCACCCTCTAGTCCAGCATCGTGCTGTTTCTGCAGTGAAGTTGATGGAAGTCACATGTCGGAGGGATAATAAAGACCATCACCGCCTCATGTTGGTTCAGGTCGAGGATTGCCAGCCACCGAGAGTTATGAACCGACTGTCAGTGTTCAGAGCTCCTGGGGTTTGGGGTTAGGAATAAGAGACTGAGGTGTTGTCTGGTCCTCACCACACTGTGTGGAGGTGAAAAGGCCTTGGTCCGTGGCACTCACAGCCTGAAGAACAGAAGGGGCAGGAGTGAGTGAGCGGGCACTTCCTGTGCCACGCACTGTATCACACGCAGCTCCCAGTAGCCTATGAAGAGAAGCTGCTGTGGTCAACCCCGTTTTACAGATGAGGAACCTGAGGCACAGAGGGGTTAGGTCACCTGCCCAAAGAAACACTGAGTGGAGTAACTGTGACTCAGTGTTGACTGCAGAGTCTAAGCTTTTGAGCCCGTCTGGGCAAGGTGGACAGGCCTTTGTAAGATCCCTCTAGGCTCTGCAGGACCCAGCAATTACTAACAAGAGGTACCAGTAGTCAGGCACTGAGGAGTCTCCCCACCTACGTCCGTCAGACAGGAATTACTATCCTTTGCTGACATACTCAAAGATGTTGGACAGTTTGCGCAAGACCACCCAGTTCATGACACAGCCTGCAACTGCTCTGGCCTTCTGGTCCAGTGCTCTCTGCATGCCACTCCCTGCTCCTGTCTCCATGGGCACGTGTGGAATCCCAGAGTGGGTGGGTGAGGTGATATTCGCCCCTCTGCAAACTTCCCTCCCCTCCCTGCTGTGTTTGCAGCCATTGAAGCCATGAAGAAAGCCTACCAGGAGGAGCTGAGCCGGGAGCTGAACAAGACACGGAGTCTCCAGCAGGGCCCAGACGGCCTCCGGAAGCAGCACCAGTAAGATGGTGTCTGGGCTCTGGGCTCCGTAGGCTGGACCTCCCTTCTGAGCCAGGGCACAGATACCCACTCTGGTGGTTACGATTTGGGGAACTTTACTGAGGCCTTTTGGCAGAGGGCACGTCAGTTTGCTCTCAGCTGAGGTTTCCATGTCAGTCACTTGGACGCAGGGGACAGAAGCACTGGGGCCTCAGGCACACCTCCATACCAGTCGGCTTAGGCAGTCCTTCAGGCCATTTTCTGTCTTGGCCGTTCTCAGCCTCCACCATTCTCTTCCTCTCTTTAGCGTCCTCTAGAGCTGGGCTGCAACATCACCCTCAGCCAGTAAGTGTCCCTCCCTGCCACAGAGCACAGTTCTGGAATGATGAGACTAGACTGTAGGGGCTTTAGAGCTGAGCTCTTCCCACCCAGCCTGTCACAGAGGAAGTACTTAGAGCCCAGAGAGGCCGTTACCTATTCACAGTCCCACAGTGAGCTGAAGGCCAAACTGGGGAGGGAACCCAGGCGTCTGAGCCCACATCATCCCTGTGCCCCTCCCCCCGGGCAGGTCCGATGTCGAGGCGCTAAAGCGGGAGCTGCAGGTGCTATCGGAGCAGTACTCACAGAAGTGCCTGGAGATCGGGGCCCTGACTCGGCAGGCCGAGGAGCGTGAGCACACACTGCGCCGCTGCCAGCAGGAGGGCCAGGAGCTGCTGCGCCACAACCAGGTGGGCTTGGCCCTCGAGGGGGCTGGGGTGGGCCCCGGCCTCCTTTCGCTGACCGTCCCCGTCCCCAGGAGCTGCACACCCACCTGTCGGAGGAGATTGACCGGCTGCGCAGCTTCATCGCCTCCCAGGGCACGGGCAACGGCTGCGGACGCAGCAGCGAGCGGAGCTCCTGTGAGCTGGAGGTGAGTGCCCGGCCCTCTGCCAGGCGCCCAGCTGCTCCTTGGGGTGTGGCCCTGTGGGGAGAGCTCCTTGCAGCCTGAGCACTAGACCTCGGAGCGGCTGGGCCCAAACCAGGAGTAGTCAGCACAGCTTAGACCACTCACTGTGCACCCAGCACCACTAGGCCAGGTAGGGTGAAAACCACCTGCCTCTCCGAGTCCTCGTAGCTCGTCTGTAAAATGGGGCTGCACCTCCATTACTGGCAAGAAACCAACTCTGCTGCCATCGAGTGTGTTTGACTCATGGCAGCCCCACGGGTCACAGACCTGCTCCGTAGGGGTGTTCTTGGCTGAACGTTTACAGAAGCCACAGCACTGCTGGGTGGGCTCAGATCACCCAGGCTCCTGTACTGCAAGACGTTGGAGTGAAAAATGCTCTAGTGTGTTCTTTTTCATTCTTTTACACATGCTTCCATAAGCCTTCGCTCTGCTTTGGGAGCGTCTCCAGGCCCCTTATATCTGTTAACTCAACTCATCCTCGTCCAGTGCTCAGAGGAAGACAGTTACTGTCCCGCTTTGACACGGGGAGGTCAAGTACCTTGGCTAGTCAGTGCTGCAGCCAGGATTTGGCCCAGGCCATCTGGTTTGAGAGTTTATGCTTTTAAGTTTCTCCCCACCCCACCCCTCGCTCCGGGCTACACCCCATTCTCCTCCTGGGTCAGGTCAACAGTAACACCTGCTCCTCAGGTTTGGGACGGGATTAGTGAGGTGGTGTATGGGGAGGCCCAGCCCTCTCTGGTTCACGATAGGGCCTCCATATGGCTTCCATTTGTCCTCTTCCCCTTCCAGTTGAGGCCGTAGCAGAGGTGACCGTGGGGTAGCCACTCACGTGGTATGGGCAGGGGAGAGAGAGTGAGGTGAGGGGAAGCAGGAAGGACCAGACAGGAGCCTGCTGTCCATTCACATGGTATGGGCAGGGGGAGAAATCAGAAGGCTTCCCAGAGGAGGCTGCCCCTGTGCTGGGTCTTGGTGCAGGTTAGGGGGCCTCAAGGCAAGGAGAAGCTAGGCAGCAGGGAACTGTGGGGCAAGAGGGCTCTGGCCTCTGGCCCCGGGTCAGCCTGGTGCCCACGCCCCCAGGTGCTGCTGCGGGTGAAGGAGAACGAGCTTCAGTACCTGAAGAAGGAGGTGCAGTGCCTCCGGGACGAGCTCCAGATGATGCAGAAGGTAGGTCCTGGCCGGCGGCGGTCAGTGGGGTCGGGGGGACCGAATCCACCGGCAAGTCTGCTCGTGCCAGCGTCTCTCCTCGTCTCGTTTCGTCAGGCAACCCTGGGACTTCTCCCAAGTAGGTGCTATTATTATCTTTGCATGCAGATGGAGAAGCCGAGGCTCTGCGAGGCTAGTGGCTTGCCCACGTCCACTCCTGCTCTAACGTGTTCAGCACATGTATCCTGAGCGTCTGCCATGTGCTGGGCGCTGTGCTAGGTGTTGGGATACAGCTGTGAGCAAGATAGGCCCGAACCCCTGCCCATGTGGTGTGTGCGCTCCAGAGAGGAGTAAGCCACATTGCTCGGCGTTGGGAGGGCCAGGATCGGGGTCCGGGTCTGGGCCATGTATTTGTAGCTATGTCCCTGTGCCTCTGGTGTTCCCTGCCAGTTTAGGGTCAGAGGTGAACGTGTGGCTCTGTGGGCACGCAGGAACCCAAGCTGTGTGGACTGCACTTTCAGAGCAGGCAGTGTGGGTTCATGGGAAGGCCCGGCGTGGGTCCAGCTGACCTGGGTCTTCTCCCAGCCCTGTGTCCACTGCCGTGTGGGCCTGAGCAAGAGCTCCTCAGCACTCTGAACCTCAGCTCTCACGTAAAACAAGTGATACTTTGGGAAGTGCTCAGGGTGGTGGGCCACCTGGAGAGGTGAGCCCATGGGGGCTGAGGAGGGACCCGCTGGAAGCCGAGTGGTCTCGTGCCGGAGGGGAAGGCTTCCTGCCTCACAGCCCCTCCCTGGCCCCCAGGACAAGCGTTTCACCTCCGGAAAGTACCAGGACGTGTATGTGGAGTTGAGCCACATCAAGACACGGTCGGAGCGGGAGATCGAGCAGCTGAAGGAGCACCTCCGCCTCGCCATGGCTGCCCTGCAGGAGAAGGAGGCCATTTGCAACAGCCTGGCGGAGTAGAGGTGAGGAGAGGGGAGGAGCACGCTGGGGCGTGGGCCCGGGCCTGCAGGGCGAGCGCCGGGCTCCCCGACAGCCCTGGTGGGCTTTGTCACCTTGGCCAGGGTGCTTCCCTCTCCTGGCTTCCATCTCCCTTTCTGTAAAATGCCAGCAGTGAGACAGTGACACCAGTCATGGGATCCAGTCAGACTCGGGCCCCAGGGCACCTTCGTAAACCTGAGTGTGCTCCTTCAGAGGTGAGGCAGTGCAGTTAAGGGTCTGATTAGTGTCACATCCCCCCCGTGCCAGCAGCACTTCTCATTACAGTGCCACACCTGCAGCCTGATCTGCCTAAGCCTGCGGTGGCCGACCCAGCAGCATGGCACATATCACTGATGGATCCCAGCATTCCTCTACCAAGTCTCATGCAGCAGACAGCACTAATCAATGCCAGCACGCACTCTGTCCCAGTTAGTCTCACAGGCATCCTTAACTTCACATGGTTTGAACCATTTTCACTGTGCTCATCTTCACACCACGTCTACCTAGACCTTCATCCTTCTGACAGTCCTTGTGGACTTCCTGAGGCATGAGGAAAAGGCCACGGTGGGCCAGGCTGTGCAGGAAGAAGTCTACTGGGCCTGGGAGGCTGGGAGCCCAGCCAAGGCTGGGAAGCTTCCTCACTCCCCTTCCCCCTTACCTTTCAGTTCTTCATGGGCCAGGTGAGCTGGAGACCCTCCAGCCCAAGGGACCAGCCTCCCTTCTTCCCTGCTGGATGGAAGCCAGAAGCCAAGCTTTCTCCCACCCTCTGTGGGCTGCATGTGCACTCACACCCACCACACACACACACACACGCACACATGCATACACAATGAATGCACATACATACATGCACACGCAAACACATACACACAACACGCACATACACACATATGCACACACAGCACACATGCGTCTGTGTTCATTGCACACACATCCATGCACACGCACATACACACTCTGCGTATCTGAGCGCCCCTCGCACTGGGTCTTACCTTGCACCTTCTTCAGGATTTTATATGTGAAGAGATTTTTATATCAATTTTGTTCCTTTTTTTCCCCAAACACTTTATACTTTTTAAAAAAGCAAATCCTGGTGTCTGTGCCTCTAACACTGCCCTCCTCTGTCTCCAGCTGCCCCCCACTGGGGGTTCTGGGTCCATGGCCCTACATCGAGGGTCTTCAGAGGCCCAGGCCATGACTGTGGGGTGGACTCTGTGCAGAGAGGCAGGGAACCAGCGCCCTCCCCTCCCTGCCTCCTACTAACTACTTCCTGCCCTGGGTGGGCCCATACCCTGGGGCTCTGGACGGAGGGACGGGTGGACAGAGGGAGCCAGCAGCTGTCCCGTGGGCCCTCCCCCTCTAAGAGGTGCTGGGTGTGGAGCTGCTGGAGCCGCCCATTGAAGGCGTTTCTCTCCTGCTCCCCGAACCTTCTTAACTTAATAAAAGATTCCAACAGCTCTGGTGTCTTGGATGGTGCAGGGTGGGTCATGGAGACAGGCTTCTTCAGTGGCTTCCCTTCCTAGAGGGGTGGCCCGTGGGCTTCTGAAGGGAGTCCAGAATCCATCTCCTCCATGGGGTGAGCAGTGTTGGGAAAACCTCACAGCTGTGCTGACGGCCACACGTGGGACCAGGAAGAGGTCCCATTCCTGAGCCACTGCAGGCCCAGCCCAGTGTCCTGTTTGCAGGGCTGAGGGTGATAGGGAGGGGAGAGGGCAACTTGGGCCAACCCTGTCCCCACCCCCTGTCCCATCAACCCTTGGGCACCTCTCCTGGGCTGGGCAGAGGTGAGCAAGAACTAGAGCTGTTCTACCAAAGCCACACAAACAGGCCACATCCACAGTGAGGACAGGTCCCAGGAGGGTTTGGGAACCCAGAGGAGACCCCACCTAGCCTGCAGGTCAGGGGGCTTTTGAGGGCCCCTTTGAAATAAGACTTCTAGGGAGGGCATAGGACACCAGCAAAGTGGGGTTGTCATGGGCATTCCAGGCAGGGGGCACAGCAGGAGTGAATGCCCTGTGAACATCCTGGTGGATTAGGGAATGGAGCAGCAGGGCAGTGAGTGTGTGTGTGTGTGTGTGTGTGTGTGTCTGAGGAAGTATCTCACCCCCTTGCCACTGATTGTCTTAGGAATGGCCGTGAGATGTAGTTCCAGCCAATGATGAGGTTATTTGGGAAGGTCTTCCTTGCTCTTAAAAAGGACGGAAGCCTCTCACACCTTTGGACAGTGTTGGATAAAGTTTCAGAGGTGCTGCCATCCTGCAACCCTGAGGCAAGTATTGCCAGTGCACTGAAAATGGCAGAAAAAAGAAAGAACCAAGATCCCAGAGCCACCAATTACCCAACCATGGCCCTGCCCTGCCTCAGCACTTCCTGTCTATGAGATGAAGAACATCCTTCAACCACTAGGCATTGGGATGCCTGTGACCAGAAGGCAGGGTGAGCCTAGAGCTTGGACCCTGGCCCACCAGGCTCCGTTCATTGCCTCCCACCAATCTGTCTTCTGCCTCCATTATGGCCTCACTGGCCTCCTCCGCCATGCCTCTTCTCCTACTGATACCCCACTTCAGGGCTGCCTGGATGAGCCAAAAACCAGGCCAACGTGAAAAGGTGCTTGACACTGAGAGTCATCAGGCCAGCCAACTTACACACGATAGGACATCACCTCTCACCTCCACCAGACTAGCTCAAATTAAAAGAACTGAAAATACCAAGTGTTGGCAAGGATGTGGAGAACTAGAACTCTCCCTCATTGCCAGTGAGAGTGTAGAGTGTACAACCCTTGTAGGAAACTGGCAATTTCTTTTAAAGCTAAGCCTACATCTACTCTGTGACCTAGCATCTGCACTTCTAAGTATACACCCAAGAGAAATGACTGCTTCAATTCACAGACAGACTAGTACAATAATACTCATATCAGCCTCATTCATAGTGGCCCAAATCTGGAAAACAATACAGATGTCCACGAAACAGTAGAATGAATAAATTGTGGTATATTCATAACTAGAATACTCTCAGCAATACAAAAAGAACCCATATTTGCAAAAGCATGGATGAGTCTCCCAGACATAATGGTCTGTTACCTAGTGCTGCTCTAACGAGTATACCTACCACAAATGGGATGACTTGAACAAACAGGAGTTTATTCTTAAAATTTGGAGGCTTTAAGTCCAAAGTGCCAGGCTCTAGGGGCTGGGTGAAAGCCCCTCAGCCTTGGGCTTCAGCTCTGCCTCCTCCTGGCCCACTGACGCTGGAGGCTTTTCTTCACTCAGCTGCTGGCTGCTGAGACTGACAAGCCCAAGGTCAACAGGTAACAAGGGACATTCCCAATGTTACCAAACCACATGGCGGGCCATTAATTCAAGTCCATTAAAAGTCTCAGGATTGGCAGAGCATGGTAGGCTGCTGAACAACTACTCAGCTACATGCAGGGTTCAAGCATGCCATCAGCTAGAGACCATTCTCAAAACTATTTCTTATATACGGGAAGCAGACCATATACTCAGCTGTTCACAGCAGATTCCACCATGGAGTTGATGACTAGTCTCATCATGGGGAATAACTACATTCAGCTGCCCAGCCACTCAACTAGGCTCAGCCAAGTTGGCACACAAACTTAACCACCACACATAATGTTTAGTCAAAGAAGCCAACCACAAAGGAACACCTGTTGGATGACTCCATTTATATGAAGTTCAAGAGCAGACAAAACAGATCTATGGTGATAGTCGGCAAAATGGTATTTCTTTTTATTTATTTATTTATTGTGATTTGGGTGAAGATTTACAGAGAAAATTCGCTTTCCATACAGCAGTTCACATATACTTTGTCGCATGACATTGAAAAAATGGTGTTTCTTAGTGCCGCGGTAACAGAAATATCACAAGGGGATGGCTTTGACAATCAAATTTATTTTCTCACAGTTGAGGCTAGAAGTCTAATTTCAGGGCACCAGCTGCAGGAGAAAGCTCTCTTTACTATGGGGAAAATTCTTGCCTCAGCTTCTGTAACTGTCTTCTTGGCCTTAGAGATCTCCATGTGGCATCTACCTTTCCCCCATTTGCACTTCCTTGTTTCTGTACCTAATCTTTTAAATCTCAAAAGTGATGGGCTTAAGAAACACTGAGGTGGCTTTATTAACATAACAAAGAAAACCCTATTCCCCAATGGGGTTACACTCACTATTAAAGGGGTTAGGATTGACAACACATGTTGGTGGGACACCATCCAATCCATAACAAGTGGGTATGTCTAGGCCATGAGGGGAATGATAGAAACTAGGAGTTGGCACAAGAGAACTTTCTAGGGTGCGAGAACTGTTTCTATACCTTGATCTGGGTGGTGGTCACATGGGTGGGTGTATACACATGCAAAAAGTCATCGGAGTAAACTTCTGGTAAGATGGAGGAATAGGCAGACAAGCGACACAGACCCTCTTCAACAAAGAAAAGAAAAACCAATTGACAGAGGTACAGAAGATAATCTTGGAGCCCTGAGCTTTGAAAGGAACTATACAGAAGTGGATTAGGCACCAACTAGTAGAAAAAAATGAAGGAAAACAGTGAGTACAGAGACAGAGCTGCGGACTGTCAGCTCTTCTGTCGAGACCAACAGCCTGAATATTTCCAAGTGGTGTTGGGACCTGAGAATTGACCTAAAGATCAGTCCTGGTCACCAAGGGCTGCAGGGACAACTTCTCTGGTGGCCTATGACTAAGAAGGGAAATAGGAAGCAGACAACCTGAGCTGTGGACATTCTGCTGTCTTGAGGGTGCAGCCATTTTGATTGTTTACACATGGCAGCCATTTTGGATATTTAAAGTGACCAAGGGTGCAGCTATTTTGAATGTTTACAAGCGGCGGCCATTTAGGATATTTAAAGTGACCGAGGGAGCAGACATTTTGAATGTTTACAAGTGGCAACCATTTTGGATTTTAAAGTGATTGCATTCTCATTCCAATTCCAGGGATCTAAGAACATGCTCT